GGGCTGGGATACTGTCAGGGTGCCCACACGTAGACAGCTGGACGATTAGGGTCCTCAGCCAAAGCCTTTGGCTCAAAAGCCTAACCGCAAGGCAGCGGAACAAGCCGCCGCATGTTCCAACCCCCAACCGGGAGGGCCAGGAGACTGTGTTCGTCAGACCTCTAACCATTGACCAACCTGGTATGAGAGACTCTGTGAGTGTCGCAGGACACTCTCCAGTATAGCTCAATGGATCGCTGAGGTGCGCAAACCGTCACACCACGGTAAGGTCCAGTCTCTTCGTGACCGAGCTCACACAGAAGAGAAAGTACATGTGCAGAGAGTGACGCATCCTCAAGGTCACCATCGGTACGACGCGTCCGGGTGAGTTGGTGGCTCTCACCGAACACGGCTTAGCAACACACGACCAGCGTATTGGGCCTGAAATTGTTCACGACCGGAACACCACCATTGGCTGTACGGAAGGAACAAGTGAACGGCCATATTTGGCTAATTAGTCATCCTATATATTTACGCAGACGCCCTGTATGTTTTGCCCTGGCAATACAGCCGTGTCCCCAGTTCTCTGTCTTCTCTCTATCGCATAGTCTGGAAGGCTCAGTGCAGGCGCAACCAATAGCTCGGCCACCGCACAATACAACAAACACCCTTCCGGTACCTAGCTGCCATGCTACCTGAAGGAAGCACGAGGGCTGGGATACTGCCAGGTTGCCTAAGTCTAGATAGCTTGGTTTGTATCGGGTGAACTACGCACAGGAAGTTTGGTGAGAACAACCGACAGGGTCTTGCTTCAGTGGGTTTGAAAGATGTAGGCACCCGTTCTTGTGGGTTCCTCAAGATACACGGGAGTTTTAGAAACAGGCCATCACTCCTCTCCTTGCTTTTCACCTAGGGCATGCTTTCTCCATGGTTGTGTGACCGCTGTCTACGCTGACGACAACCAGAGCAGTTGTTTTGAGGTGAAGTTGGGGAGGCGTCCAAGACAGAAAGAGCCGATGTTAGACGACTTCAACTTGGTGTTGTACGCATAACTTATCAATTCAGAGGTACTGTGCTTGAAACTTAGTGCTAGGGTCTGGTAGGGTGACATCGTAGAAGCGAGGGTGATAAGTAGGGAGTACGGTGGACAATATTCGGGGAACGTGGATCCGAGAGAACCTACCATGTAGTAAAATTTACTGAAAAGAGACGCAAGGATAAATGCCACCGAGAGCTACCTCGTCCCTGAGCTGGTTTACATGGGCCCAAAAAACGGAACAGGGGGCTTGGGCTAAAAATAGTTACTGTCAACATTAGGCCGTCAAAAAGATACCGACGCTCAATAACAAGGCACTGACAAGTGACATAAGCTCCAGAACATAGGACCCAGTATATCGGTGAGTACCAGTCGGTGGTCACGAAGTTTGATAAATTTGGTTGTTTGGGGAGGCATGCCGATGAAGACTAGTGAAGCAATGGGATGACGTAAGAAATTCGGACTTGTCTGTGGCTCATACTCAGCCAGTTTTCCTGGCTGCTGGGTAACGACAATCTCCCCGATTTTAAGGTTCCTTGCAGATATTTGTAATGGACACCGTCAACAACCTAACCATTCATATGACCATCACGTTAAGTTTGAGACGCGTTCATCTCCAGTACGGATAAAGACAACCAAAGCACCCTAGTGCTTTGTTTTATCTATCTTCAATTTCACTCGTGTTTGTTTGCCTGTGGATTGATAATGCATTACTCTATAAACGCTTTGGACTGTCACCGTGTGGGTTGCGTTTTCGGTGTTGCAGTTTGAGACAATTCACTAGTTCTCATTCGCTAGTTGCCTCTACAATCATTTTGCGTAGTCTGCGCGTACTCAGGTGCATACATTTAAGGGTTGCGCTATGTCACTTAAAAAGTGGCATCTAACTGAACTTTTAGTTACCCCTTATCACCTTAGAGATTCACTCATTCGAACCCCATTCATATTGTTTGAATTACCTTAGCCTCATGGTGACTACTGTTTCCTCTAAGCTGAATCTGTACCCCACGGGAAACACCGGCGTACGCATCCACGAATTACGGTTTTCGGACATATCGACTGTCGCGTTGTCACGTACCACGACACGAATGACAAAATGGACGCGTATTCTAACCTCTGCAACTTGACTTCCTGTGGGTAGTAATGAATGGCCAGCGTTACCCAATTCAATCCTAAAAGACATTGACAACTACCAGTTCTGTCGGTTCTAGAAACGCCGCACGGACGAACGTCTGCACATATGTAGACGTCTACACATGCATACATGTGTGGAAGTCATTTCCTTTATAACGGAAATGATCAGTGAGATTACTTAATGTCATTGAGATTTGCAAGTTTCAGTGAACAAAAAACTGAAAATAAATACACCACCTACCGTGTGAGCAAAAGGAAACAACAACAGTCCGAGCTTTTTCGCGACATAGGAATTGTTGACCGCGAAGTAGTACTTTATTCGCGAGGAAGCCAAGTAACTGTTAACCTAAACAACCACCCTTAGACCAATGACAATAGTTACGTTTCTCTGGACGAAATCTGCTCCTTGTCCCACAACGGCAGAACCATACTGCATTGCCAGGCCAGTTACAGCTGGGTCGGGTATGAAGTTGTAATTTGGATAACCAGACTGTTCTACATAACGACGTCCTCCATGAGATGCTTGATTCACATATTCCGCCGAAGGAACGTAGAAGCTTGCCTGGCTGGTCGCAGCTGTAGATATGGTCAGAGCGAACAAAACCACTCACCGTTTCCCGGGTAAAACTGCGAATAACCGTTGGGTTCGTTGGCATCAACGCGCACATTACCAGAGTAATCCATGTATAACAAGTGAGGCGATACTTTCACCAGCTTTCGTACCAAAGCCGATTACTTAAAACAGTACCGAATTATTTAACCCGAAGTAAAGTAGACTGACGAGACAGGGTACGTCAGCGAAGGTCACGGGAAAAAAACGGCAACCAATCTGAAGGCTGGTGCGTGATTGGCCACTTTCATGGATTGATAAACAGGATCGAGAAACTCAACCTAGCATACGGTTTGGGACTTATTTTTGTCGTTCAGCAGCTTCGGTCCATGTGGAAGAAAAAACGAAAAACGATGTAGGGCCGTTCTTTTATTTTCCGGTGCTGCATAATATGCTTACTAGCGCGAGGATTCATGGAAGTATTCGCGAATCCACACACTGACTTAGGGGATCGAAGTTACTGCTAAAGCAGTTCTAGTAGGGTTTATTATTATCGTCCAGTGGGAGGGCACAGGCAAAAACTGATGTGGCGCCACCCATTAATTTCTCAGCGTTGGGTGGTAAGTTTGTCATCGCGAGGACTCACATAAAAAGCATCCAAAATTGATTTCAACTAGGGTCTAGGTGCACCGTGGGCAGCTGTCAAAGGAACTTATTCCACTGACCAAATACCACGAGCAAGAAAAAGTGCGCGCTCTAGTCTCGGAATTTCTCTTACCCTGTCCCCTCCGCGGTGAAAATCCTGTCGGACAAATCTCATTTATTCAGGGCATCAATAAATGTCAGACCCCATCGGAAGCAACGATGATCAAGGAGAAAGCGATCACATGTCTACTGGAATTTTTTCGACAGCAGATTTGAGGTCAACGACAAATTTCTTGGCAACTTCTGAGATGCACTCAATAGGGGTTGCGAGGTTCCTGGGTTAACTGGCCGGCTTATCCAACAGGCTCTCTGGAGCAGGCTCCGTAATTTACCTAAAAGTACACGCAAATCCTCCCAAGTAATCCGATGAATGACGAAGGACTTTTTGACCCAGTTTCAGCAATGGAGTAAAACGTACAGTCCAACATTGAGTAACATTGAAATCCTTTCAGTACCTGGCTTCCCAACATAATCTGATCAATTCTTGTTACGACTTGACCCATGACAGCTTTGAAATTTTGGAAGTTTCTTGCATCTTTCTGCAAGCAAGGTTAGGTGAAACCTGTTTCCGAGCTGAACCCCCGTCAACAAGTTAGGGAATAAATGGAAAATCTGTGAAATTTATGGAAGAGGTCAGAAGTTATTGGTAAGGGAAAAGGCAGGCAGGCGTGACCAAGGAATACTGCTTCTTACAATGGCCAAGATATCATTCGTAGCTTAAAATCGCAGCTGTTCACTGAAGAATCTTTTCCAGTTACTTTCCGATTATACATTTTGCAGGGCCTATGGTGAGTAATTTGTTGATAACAAGAGGAGAAAATAGCGTCGGTGGAATTGATTCTGCGTCCTATTGTTTGGGTTATGGTCTTGACCCTCCAGAAAGTAGATATTGGAAGGAACGTGAATCCAAGTGTGTCATATGGTAAACGTCGCTGCAATCCTTGCCAGCATTCTTCTCTGCACTAACGGCAAAGACAACGGGCTTTCATGGCTTTTCAAAAGACCAAATACGTTTTCTAGCGTTCCAGCGGGATTACAGAAATGCTTAAGCAAAAAAACCTTATCTCTGTTCGTTTTGTACCTTCTAAACAAAGCATTAGGTATGAGGCAGTAAGACCTGAACGTGATACGGAAATCTGCGTTTAAGTTTCGTACGCTGCTTGACTATGTAAATGAAAACGTTGTGATGAAGGGGTTTAGGAGCACCACGTTGGTTGGTAATGATCGCAGTATGGTTGACTCATTCTAAAAATGTGTGCCGCTTTTCATGGTAGTTCGGTAGGTTGTAATCGGTACATAAAGAAGAACCTATCTGGAAAGTTGTGGGGTGAGGTTTTGACAAAAATTATCAATGCCAAGAAGCCATTCAAAGGGACCGGTTGTTGAAAGGTAGAAGGAGAAGGAAAGCCACGAATGGATGATTTGGCAAATGGGCGGATGTGGGATCAGAAACCTTTATAGATGAAAATGATTTATTTCAGATAAAGCATGAAGGGATCAGGAAAGTTTGTTTGTGACAACGCGGGCATTGACTACAAGCTGCGGACTCGCAGCAGCACGCTGAATGGATACACGGTTTAACAAGTATTTAAATAATAATGATATAATATACGTAATACATGATATAATAATATAATAATAATTAAATACTAACAATGATCTTCACCTGAAACCAGCGCTTCGAGCTTTCTGCAAAGGAAAAACATGGGAGGAGAGATTGCACCGGCGGTGAATCTCCTCGCTGAAAATGTGAGCCCGCTTGAAACGTTTAAGCCCAAGAACGATAGGTAACGCTTTGAAGGCATTTACAAGCTGATTTTCGCCATTGGAGTGTTAAAGGGAGATGCAAATAGGTGCAACTAAGCTAAACTTGAGCCCGGGATGTCACTGCAGTGTCATCAGTGAAGCATCGGTATTGAACCTTGATGGCCTGCTGTGGAAGATGATGGCCGCAGTTTCATCAGACGTGGAAATGTACAACCATATGTGCATGTTTCCGGTGAGGGAAGAACCACCCGCTGGGTTTACAATTGTGCCGCTTAAAAACAAACAACAACGTTTCAAGCTGCACAACCGCATAAACATGAGTTACTTGAAGGTGCTCAAAGATGAGCGACGTCTAATTCGGAACACGTTTGCAGGAGGGGAACACAGAAAAGCCACGATTCCAAAAACATGGCTGCAGAAAAAGAGACGCAAGGACTTCTGACAGCAGAAGGCTTATGAAGATATCAAATAATTTGGAGCATACTACGCATCAGACAAAAAATTAACAGCAGCAACCTTCAGCCCAGCTGACCAATTATCGTAACTGATGTTGCTGTAAGTATAGTAAGCTTCATGTCCGTAAACGGAAAGTGACACGAGGTTAATCCGTTTGCAGCCTTTGCGCGTCCAGGTCAAAGGGACGCTAATAAACCGTGCCACGGAACCCTGTGCTTGAAAAAACAAAACCTACTCTTCTCAAAATCATCGTTCTCAACCTCTCGAAACAGCTGGAAAATCGCAGCCAAAGTTCGTATCCTACACCAAATAGAGGGGACTATGTTCTCTAGCGTACCATTTGCAGCAACTTTGGGCTTGGCGCCCGACGGAGCGTAGCGACGGAATGAGCCCTGAGGGCGACTCGATTTGAAAAATGTATGCAGACTCCAGGCCTTGTCCGAAAAAGACTGGCTTATTTCTGCGAAGTGTTCAGGGTCAGTTATCAAAAAAATCACCCGCATACGTGAGGTAAACTAAGCCAAAAGACTAATGACGATTTCAAGTAAGGACTAAGCAGCTGCATATTGCTTCCAGGGTTGTAAGACTAGACTGGATTTTCCATTAAGGTGCCCTAGACTGAAGAAGCCGAAAAACTCCAGGTTCATCATAAATACGAACCCCCTAACCGATCTATCGCAAAGCTTAGCCATCCCCACCAATCAACAAACATGGACATCAGACTGAACACCCAGCACTGACCACGTCACTAGTCATAAGGAATCTCGCGGATTGGTTCCCTGACTGCCTTAAAACCCAATCAACCTACTTACTTATTCACTTGGCCTGACGAAGCTTTTGTGTCAAAATCGAAACGTTGTCCAGCAATAAATCCACCGATTGTTTACCAAACCCCTCTGAAATGATGACTTCTCAATCGGTCCCACACATTTTCCAATTGATAGACTGGATTCACTTTTTATTCACTGACATAATGCACCACGGCCGTCATCAAGCAACAAATCTGAACTGGTTTTGGCTGAACTTACACCTTTATCTACGTCAAAACAAGCTTGAAGGCCGTTGCCATGTGTTCGGAGGACGGTGTGCATTCAGCCAGTAGATTATTTCACTTGCTGTTACTTCGGAGCTTTTTGCGATATGGAGACCACAGTACAGTGCTGCCAACATGTTATTACAATACGAAAAATAAGATCTACCGAAGCTGGTGCAGAACGCTGTAGAAAAACAAAACGTGAAAAAGACCCTCATATTTCAATTTCTGTCAGAGGAATAACAATAATGTTGTCTGCTCTGTGTACATGAGTCCAGTACCCTGGAGCTTCGAGTGCTAAAATGGTAATTTCAGTCTAGAATAATAAGGCAAATACCTGACCATCATTTCTGGTGCGGTATTTAATTTGTTCATGACAGGACCTTTATGAGTCTTAGTACACTTAAGGGGCATGATCAAATTCCAGTGCGTTTGACTGGAAAAGACATAACCTATGACAAAGGGCATAGCAACCGAACTTAAAACCCTCCAGAAGCAGCTGCTTTCACACCCTCAGAGGTATGGATGCGAAACTTTAATCGTGACCATGTACCCATAGTCTATAAGGAGGAATAAACATTGCAATCAAAAAAACGCCCTTGAAGTTGGCGAATTTCAGTCATCAGTGCATGCAGGTATCGATTCCGGTCACTCTCTAAACCCGTATTCCCGGAAGTCCACCACGGATGCCTCAGATTCCTCCTTGGTATAGGTAGGACTCTCTCAGGTATTTTATGAATTCTTGGACAGCGGGCCGCTTAAACATACTTAGAACACTTGTTCAATTCGGTGAGGCAGCATAAGTGATCTATCTATGCAGCGGAATCGGAATCTCTTTATTCCTTCGATAACCGTTTTCTCCAAATGTAGCTCGTTTGGCCTGGTGCCAGAATAATCCACGTTTGTTCAATTAAAAGGATTTTTTGTGCAAAAGGAACTTCAGTCAGTGTGCGTGTCCATAGCCAAAACCCATGAATAAATGATCATGTACTACCAAAACCAAATAATTAGTTACAGCAAAGCTTGCTACTTTCAGTGCACGAATTACAGTGGCGTAAACAGGAAGGTGTCAACCTTTTACTTGACAGAGGAGAACGCAAAAGAGTGCTGTCGATGTGGCTGGCATTCCGGAGTGTTGTCGACGTGACTCCCCCTGGGCATGGTTTGGAACGTTGTAAACTGTGGTCGACGATATTCTTGTGCATTTTTTCCATCCACATATTCTGGATGATTGTCTGAAGTCGAAGAATCCTCCATATAAATGTAGCAGTAGAGAATTCGGGCCTTTTCTATGCGCCTTCATCCTCCATGCAGTAAGGGTTACAGAAAACCTTGTTTTTACGACAGGGACAATGGTGTTGTATTTTCATTTATGCTCACAACTTGTCTAAAGCTATCTAGGCTACCACGAGGTTCAGCTAAGTCCTATCTCTGAAGAACGAAAGTAGAATCCATATATATCACGTGGTTTTAACAGAGAAAAATACGTGACAATTACTTTATTATTACGCAGTGCCAAAAGAGACACATAGGTTTTTCATAACTTTGCGGTAGTTCACAAAATAATTTCAGCCGCGTTAGATAAAGGAATCATTTTGCAGCTTCAAATAAATTTTGTCGGGCGTAATTTAAAGCGGTAAAAACTAACATGATCATAGAAAGGACCGGTATATGCGCTAGTTACGGAACAGTAAACAACACGTTAGCATAGATCCATATGTCCAACAAAACGGTAAAATTGTAGAGTAAAATCTTTCAGCAGTTATGTTATAAAAATTAGCTGGAAGAGAGTTCGTTTACGTCAGCTATCTAAGGAACACTATCAAACATTTTTTGTGAAGAAATGTGTGTCTGTTAAATAAATATGAACCAAAATTTATTCCAGTCGCAAAGCTCTGGAACTATGTGGTGAAAGGCCTTTCGTCTTTGCACTTATGAAACGGCTTACAATAACCCGATATTTCTAAAGTGCGTCAGAAACGCGAAGGCAACACAAATTACAATAGTGATTTTTTTATTGCGTGGTCATTGAGTAAGTTATTACTCGCCTGATATGTGCTTTTGATTAGTCAGCTGGGTGCCAAATTTGGTGTCCACTTTTGCTCAAGATAAATTATTCAGCGTATTACGCTGGCTGAGTTACTTTTCAGGGGTGGTAATTGAACCTCAAGATCGAAAAACTTTGTCTTGATATCCATTATCATTGTAATAATAAAAATTAGTATGGGACTCTATTCACAAAAAATTATACCAAAGGGTCTGGAAACAAACTCGCCGGAGAAATCGAGACGAATGATTTAAGTTTCAAGGTGTCTAGGAGATGAAGAGACAGTCTTCCGGTCATCAGACGAAGATGTTAAGTATACGACTGAGTTTACAATGGCTCGTCCTTTGGATCAGGATGATTTGTAGCAAGTGCTAAGTGTGCAAAGTCTTGCTTCCTTTCACATGTATTGAATGCCATATTGCTAGATAGAATTCAGACGGCACAAGCTAGTACAGTGAAATTTGCCTACCAAGCAAACAAGAGCTTCATCAGAGGCATTGAGCTTGATTGAACTAGGTAACCGGACGACGCAAAGACGACTGTTCACTGGGATCCAATCCAGAAAAGCGGTTTCAGCCCTGGGGCTGAGTGCAACTCCCACAACATTTATTCCACTAGTCATCGCTTCTGGGTCACCGGACACACGGAGGGAGAAATGTGAAAGAGCTGAGTTCATCCTTGGCGTTTTAAGATGCAAAACCACGCTCGGGTCTTGTATGCGTGTTTTGGAGACACAGCATACATCGATTTTAAAGGAGTACAAGGTTTCAGCGAACACTGCCTGTTTACCAATCTTACATAGAGTATGGACATCAAAAGCTCCTATATAGAACGGATTCGTTGGATTTAGAAAGGTGTTATTTTGCTCAATGTTTTTAGGCAGCGAGGAGCCTAAGGCCCTTTGGTCAGATGACTGACAGCCAAGTGGCACAGAGACGTGTGCTTGTGTGGTGGGAAGGGGTTGAAGAATGACATCGGTGGACTCTGAACTGCACGAGCAAATGATATTTCCGGTTTCCCAGGCCGATGAAGGAGGTTTGATTGAGGTACCCCACCTTGGGCGTTTGACTCAAAAGTCTGACCCACAAGGCAGTGGAAGAATGTAGGGTTTTGTTCGGGGACCTTGACCCTAGTGTCTGACCCAAAAGTCTTGCCCACGAGGCAGTGGGTCAAGGCATGTGCCTCCTGAACAGCACCGAGCTCTTTGGGTATACAAGTATTTCGACCGTATTGGATAATGCGCTAGCGATCACGGTCAGCCGTGTGGCGATCGGATTGTATGGTTTTTCGTGCCGACTTTTATAACCCGTCCTTCCTCGGGGGAAGGCAGCATCGCTGCTTCCACAAATATGGAGATGCTGGTTGCCTGGGGGAAACAACTTACCGTCTTCACACTCCTGTCGCAGAGGACAGTACGATTTTACCCCCAGACCGTCTCGTAGAACGAGTACTCGTAGTATGGGGTCTCGCTGCTCTTCGTCAGGCTGCTCCCCTTTGGCCTTCTTAGCATGATTGCACCTTGTGGGCCCGCGGGATCATTGCGGGACTCAAGCTCGACCATCACTTTAAGGTGACAGCTTTAGAAGAAGTTCAATTAAACGTTGGAGCGTTTTCACTTTACAGTACTTTATCGTTATCAGACGTCATCATCATCATTGGCTACAACAACAGCGCATTTTTTCTACAATGATTATAGCTACATAATTACATTCACTGCTGATTTAAGAAGAAAAGAGGCATTTGAGGCGGTGGTTGATATAACTGACACTTAAATACGGTATTGTTAGTGAACCTTTCCAAGGGGAGCTATTCAGTGAAGGTGGTGGCTTGAGCATGAGCGTCACTAAGGATGTGCCCTGGCTATTTTGACAATTCCTCCAACCATTGATGTGTCCCGTCTTCGAATCCTCATTCGGGGGGGGGGGAGGACACTGACCAGCGCATTTAAGCATACTGGTAATGGCTTTTATACTTCACTGTCACGTCATCGCTTGATCTCTAATGGCTCGTTTTCGCCCTCCGCTTGGTTGCGCAAAAAGAACTCTTTGAGAAGGCCGGTTGACTTGCATAAGGAGCACTTAACCAAGCCAGCGCAACCCATTTAGTGTGATCAATTCATCTATTGCGTGTGAATTATCTTTTCCAAAAAAGTATTCGACTTACTTCAGCATTAGTGATTCCGGGGTCCAAACAGACTCGGTCAATTCTCGTAAGACATCGATGGTCAAGCAATGGAAGAGTTTTGACGTCCTCAGAGGGCAGCGGCCGGATTTCCGACCCATACAGCAATATGGGTTACACCACAGTACTCTAAACACGAACAATGACGGATAATATAATGTCACGCCCATGCCACAGTTGACGCAGTCCAAAAAAGCTGGTTATGGCCTTCCAGACGGATTAGAATGTCATCTTTCACGAGACCATCGAGGCTGATACAGCTGTCCAACTGGAGAACTTTGTCCACCACCTTAATCGGTTTACTCAGTTTATTGATCCCACCCAGTTTTACAGTCACACTTTTCACTTTGCAGATGTGAAGATAATCACGACATTGTTTTGAACTGCGGTAATACCCTTACTATGCACCATAACGTTACCCTAGCTTCATGAGACGCATCCATGCAGCGAAAGCACTTATAAAACGCAGTGAATAATACCTTATGAGATCATCTGACCTCAATTATTCGGTATACATGTACATGTAAACATGCAGCATGTGATTTGTTGCATGGCCAGTGACTAACAAAAGCACAACTGAGGGCAAAAATACAGGCTACCCCATGACTCCTATCTTCCAGTTTTCCTTCAAACAATTTGCACTGTGATTAATTGTACTACCAGCTTTTACCACAGGTATGGGTAATATGAGCTACTCCATGATTTTGAATTGGACATTCTGCAAAAATGCATGCGTATGCCTTAAGCATAGGGTGATGAGCCAGGCATCCGATGGGAAGATGGTAACAAACGAATGGTCTTAGAACACATATTGAATACACCAAGATCTCCGGCTAATCTAGTCCAGCTTTATCTGGTTGCCAGAACGGTCAATCATCGTGGTGGGGAATAGGTGTGTTCAGCTTACTGTAAGTTGATCGTGCTGTTTGCTTGCATAAACATGTAAGCTCCGTTTCATCTTATTCTACAGTGTAATCATCAGTTTTCTGCAAGACTGTCATTGCTGCTGTCCCGATAAAAACCTACAGATAAATGGAAGAAGAGGTCTCCAGCCAAAACGAGAGAAGCCAGACCTCTAGCCCATTCAGCTTGAAAGATAATGTGTCTGAAACAGTACCGGATAGTTTCACGTATCTAAACGCCAAGTGCATGCTACTGGAGAAAACACCTAAGATGAAGTCAAGCCTGTAAGTCAGACCATCCTAACATAATAAGCACCAACACTTAGATACGACCATCTGGCTCAGCTCATAAAGTATATACTGAAAACGGACGAAGAATCCATCATGGAGAGGCTTGGAGAAATAAGTGTGAAACTGAAACTTCTAACATGTCCAGTCGCACCTGATTTCATAAAGGATGTGCCAGAACCAGCAGAACAGCTGTCAGTCGCTAAGTCAGAAGTACCGTTATATCAGGTATGGTCCCAAACTGAACTTACTCATCACTCAGGTACAATCGAAAGCACCGAAGTTTCAAACTCCAGCTCTTACTTCGTGTCCCGATGTCGCCAGAGTCTTTTATGCACTCGAACAAGCAGGATTAGGTTTGAGATATCTTCTTTGTACTAAAAAAAGCTTTCAGGTCTTCCATCGGAAGAAGTTTTTCTTCTGGCTGTTTCAGTAAAAAAATTTGCTAGTAGGAAAAATCCGAAGAAATTGAGATTTTGGGGGAAAGTATATGGAATACATAAAAATTACTACGTAGTCGAAGTGGAGGAGGAACATCGAATTCGTGAAATGTCACAAGAGACGACAGAAGACGAAAATCCCCAGAAGAAACCAGAACCGCAGTCTCCTTTGCAAGAATCTGACGAAGCACTGGAAAGCTTACAAATAGACTTGCTTCCAAAGTCCGACTGGCGACCCCAACAACCAACGCCACCAGATGAGGTTGGACGAGGAACGAACAAGGCAGTTTACTACGTCTGCAACAGCCCCACAGAAGAATGGATAAAACTTCCAGATGTGACACCAACGCAAGTAAGTTTTCCCTTCATACATACAGTTTTGATGTCAAAAACAGCCATTCTACTCAATGTTCGAACATCAAAAATGGCGTTGATGCTGTACAAATTAGCAGCAAACACAACCAACGAGAAAGACTGCAATGCGAGAAACGAGTTAATTCCCATTATTCGAGGTAAATTAAAAGCAATAAACGTGTGCACCTTGTGCCCGGTTCACCTACAGCCCTCACTAAAAGAGAGAATATTTGTTTTTTCTACTGAATCAGTTTCATAATGCCATCCAAGAAGCTGAACCTTTATTTAGCTTGAGTATCGCAAGAATAAAACTATCGGACCATAAGAAGAGGGGAACGTAGCCTACTGAATTAAAAGTTTACGAAAGTTTCCACGTTCGGAGTGATTCCATCCCGCAACTCCTATTTTTAATGTCATCTCCACACTATTTGCAGTAGAAGGAAACACAAGATTCATCCAAAAGTGATGACTGCACTAGTAGAAGCCCCCAATCGGTCCAGAAATGCCTTTGTTGAGAGGTAGTCTGGGATCTTGTTTATCAGCTATTCAAATACTAACCGATACTCAAAATTACTCCAAAACAGATTTGCGTGAGCCGCCAAATCCGTCATCTATGCACTGGTGATCTCGAAAGCAAAATCGAATCATTTCCCCCGTTCCCGGGGGTGGAGAAGAATTACTTAAGAGCACAGATAGCAAGAATATCAGCCACAACAACCATCTCACCAATCAATTACTATCAGTTTGAAGAAGAACAGATGGAGGAAAATGCATTCAGTGAATCTTTTGTTCCAAACCCAGAATATGAACCATTGTCTATTTACGAACTCGCTGATTCGTCGCTGGCCAACTGGGTTCACCACGCAGCTTACATTCTACCACAAGGCCGAACAACATGGTGAGTTCTTAACAGACAGTCAGACCAAAAATAGATACGAATAGTAGCATACAGAACTCCTGCCCCTACCTAATTTGATTCATATTCTACAAGGTACTAGTACTAGTACGGTCTTCGTTTCTGGATGAATCGCCAAGCCACATGACGGGAACGTCACAAAATCAGTGTGTATATAAACCATAAATGCAAATCCACAAATTTATTCCTCTGTATAACCCGGCTCACCATTCTAATTTTACCTACGCTCTATTAGAATGTGCTTCAAGATATAGACACAACCGGGTTTCCTGATAGACTGGCCAGAATATTTTCCCTATTTCAACTTTACTCATGGCTTTACTTGAATGGATTGACATGGCCTTACAAGAGTAAAGCACTAAAAGTGAGCGCTAGTGTTGATGGGGGAATTAGGACCCCGCAGCCTATGGTCTCAGATTTGAAAGGCCAGAATAACCAAAGGGTTTGATACACAGGGATTTGGAAGACCAACAATGGATTCGAAAACCGACTGGTTCAAGGCGCTGAGCACTAGCTGGTTAGTGCAGGTTGCTAATCAACATGAATTCAAATATTATTCTTTAGCTGGAAGTAGCCTAGATAAGTTTGTTAGATGGTGGAATTTTCCACTTCTCGTGTCTATAAGCAGATCAATAACTAGAGAAGAATGGTTGTGGTACGTTCGGTCGCTTACGCTGCAGTTTCATGTGAAAAAAATTACCCAGCGGGTTAAAGAACAGAATGGATAAGTTTTCAAGCGGCTTTAGACCGCCGTTTGTCAGTTATTGTGAAGCTGTGGTAATCTGTCTATCTACACTGGATCTAGTAGGCACGCCAATCTGAGGACGAAATTGCTTGCCAGATGATCGAAAGCTAGGCACCAGTAAACCGACTGCTCACGTGCATCTGAGTTTTTATTACATTGATCCTTCTGCAGGAATGTTATAGGTGACCTTTTGATGACCCATAGAGTTGTTCTTTCCACTGTTGTGATTTCATCATTGGACAGGTGGAACCCAAGAACTACGGAACCAAGTGATTTAGAAGATTATGATGAAGATATGGAAGAGACAGCTGAACTTGAGCCGGAAACCGGACCGCCGCTTCTGACGCCTCTTTCTGAAGACGAAGAAATTGGTGAGATCCAACCATGGTCGACAAGGATTACATCCCAGTTGGTGCCGCATTACGCATACGCCGTACTCTCATCTAACCTGTGGCCTGGATCCCACACGATTGCATCTGGGAGGCAAGTCCATCACGTCTCGGTATTACCATAGTATGGGCGTCGTGAACCAGTAGATTCGGATTATTGTGATTTTGGGACAGAGCTCGCTAGCAAGGGGCATATTCTGAACCGGGTCCACACCCTGCACACCTATTTGATTATTATTCCAAATGTTCGCCTTCAAGACGTGACCACACTGTTGTCACTATTAGAGTTGATCATGTAAATTCCCCCTGATAGAACTCTCGTGATGGTCTGGAAACAAATCGCAAGTCATCTCCTTCTAAACGAACCAGTCTCCAAATTTCCAGTGAATGTTTTAGAGGCAGTTCGTAAAAAACCTGAATAGCCTGAATAGGGTACCATGTATCTTAGAAATGAAATTCCCACTACGAAGCATATTCCCAGAATTCGAACCGCAAGACAAGTAAAATAACGTCATCTTCTAAGGAATCGAAAGGTGGAAAATAAAAATCTGTTCTGAAATCTGTTCTGCTGTGAAAGCGAGAGAACACCAACGAGAGTACAGTGTTGGACATCAGTCGATAAAACACTCGAATATTTATCATGATCCATTTGACCGCAGCGTACTTTATAATTGATATAATGCATACTGATGGCTTCATAGTATCCACTTGTCTTAGCCACGCGTTTCCGGACGCGCGCATGTATTCGATGTCTACAATGAATTAAGTCTAGGTACATGCGGCTCCACCTTTGTCCAGTCACATCCCTCTAACGCTGCGCTCGGGCATCTCACAATCGGTATGGGTCTGCTACTTAATACTATCCAATGAAGCCAAAGAGAACTCGTCCCGATATAGTGATTCTTGTTGCTGCACTCGGTCGATTGGGTTTGGCGACTTCACAAGAGAGGAACTGACAACTGACATGCCAATGGGACATTTGAAGACGTCCCGTTTTGAGAAGTAATCTGAGTTATCATAGTTGGCCCTAAGGGGCTGTTTACTGCTCCAGAGAACAGTGAAAGGGCCTGTAGAAATTTCCGCGGCTTAAACCTCTCCCTTTTCAAAAGTGTTTTTTTTTCTGAGGACTTTTCCCGCGAAAACCTCTGCAATACGAGATATGGCTAACACCAAGTAACCCATAAAGTAACTACCACTTTGTAGTTTGTGACTTTTGACGCATAAACGAATCACTAGCCACCGCAATACAGTCATCCAACCATGCAACCTTTATCCCAAGCTGCACATTATTTGGACCAATGCTGTAATGTATCCAGGTTTCCGTCCTTACTACACGGTATCATCTGTCACGTAAAGAAATGTCACTTTAAGGGGGTAACCCCATTAAAATCGCAAACCCGATCCTGGCTAGAAGCTAGCAGCGGCTTTAGAAACGAAGTAAAAATTGAAACAATATGATATATACTGCCCCGCGAAACAACCCTCCCACGTAGCAAACGACTTACCGAGGGCACTCGCTTGGGAGGTAACGTGCCTGGAATCTGCAGCCTTGTTGTAACTAGGATTTACACGTTTAACACTGCAATGTTCCGTTTGTTTTTATTTGTTCAAGATGCTTTCAACGCGGCGCATTTTCTGCGTTTTACGACTTCATAGGTTTTTCGAAAATATCTACATAGGATGGGCACAGAAGTTCTTGGGTACGAATTTCAGCCCCCAGCCTGCACCCAAGATATTTGAAGAATTCCCATCTGGACCAGAGGTAGACGAAGCCGATGATCCAACAGCAGAAGAGGAAGCCGCTTGGCGAGCTGCCCAAGAAGAAGCGACCAAAAAACTAGCGGAGGAGGCCGAAGAACACGAGGAAGAAGAAGAGGAGCAGGAGGAGGATGAAGGTGATGAATTCGAGGATTAGATGTTCACCAGTGACTTATATAGATCTGTAGGACGAAACCTATCTAGGAAACGCATGATAATTTTGAACAAATATCTATCATGAGTGAGTAATTCATTGAAATAAACATCCATTATGAAACTAACCAAAATCCGAGTGAATTAAGAATCCATAGAACTTGGGTTCAATGCTTTATGGCAGTTGGTGTTGAATGTTCTAACTAGGCTTACTGGTACAAAATACGGTATAACTGTCTACCCCTATGGAAAATTGGATACTGAAAACGATAGCAAGCAATGTTGTAGACAAGAGTATCACTATAGTCGCTACGTACAGCAAGAGTTCTGTATTACCGCACTACGACGCTAGTTGTAAAAAAAGAGGAAACGACTGATGGATAGTCCACCAAGGTGCCTACGTCTCTGACAATTAGTAAACAAATGAGGTACGAAATGGCGTGCGTCTTCAGACGCGCGCATAAATGGGGATGCGGTATGCATGCCAATATATTAACTATTGGAAAGGATAGACGGAAGAGCGTCTCTGGGTTGTAAATTCGTGACTAGGTAAGCCGACATGAATGAGATAACGAATTGAATGAGTTATGGGGAAAATCCACCTTCCAGGATGGGGTCTTCGCGTACCTACTCAAATAATTGCAAAACTTGAATGTCAACCAGTAAGAGTGTGCGTACCAACAAATCCTATCGAGAACTACGAACTGATTTCTGGAACCCATGTAGCAGGGAATGTTGTGTGGTTGGCTAGCCTAGGTACCTTGCCTTCTGCTCCGGATTCCATCAAGAGATTGACGGGCGCTAATGAACCGATGGTGCTGTCGTTTATTACAAAGACGAAATTCGGGTAAATATTTTCACAGTTGGGAGCAGGCCATCATGGGCTATGGACTGCATTTCCATTAGGTCATTGATAAAATCCGAACATGATCTCTTGACTTTACACAAGATTCCCAAGATCCTACGTCCATCAGGGCACCGAAAATGACTATTTACTATGTAACTCAGGTTTTTGGTGTTAACAAACTACTTGAAGGACTATAGTAGGTCCTTCTTAAACCGCTTTGTGCGTGGACATCAGACGATCGACCTTGATGCACTCAACTGACGACACGTTCAGTGAACTGTGTTCAATCTTTTGACAGCTTCCATTAGATTATACCTGCTTGAGAACTATAAGTTAATTACCGGATCCTCCGTTGAAGATCATGACAGTGGCCCCAGCAACTAGGTGACGATTCGTTAGTGGTAATTTCACTGAGGAATTCGACGAGCGGATGAAACCAAACAAGAAACCTCTACACGTCATCTGCATATTCAGTGTTGGTGATTTCGTGGATTATGAACTCTGAACGTGAATGGATGGTACCACTACTAACTTGTGAGCCCTTTGAAGGATGAAACGCACGGTGGATTGCTTTCCCAAAGTTGATCACTTCCATTTGATAGCTATCCAACTGAAACCTATCTTCCTCGAGAAGCAATGATTCACGCCTTACTAGCATAAGGTACCCAGTGCTACACTTGAGAGTAAGTTCCCACAATAATGGTACCCGATTGCGAAAGCTTTCATCGCTCGCTTTTCCGGAAATACGAAAGTTACCAACTTTGTAGTCAATGGTCGAAATATGCTCCTAGTTATCTTAATGTCGCTAAACAGCAGGGCGCACGGTTATTCTACAGTTTTGGAATTTGAGTGAACGTTTTCAACTGAGGTTTAAACCCCAGTTGAGTTCTCAGTCCTGGGAGGTCGAGAAACACTGAGCAGCCCTTCCATTCTTGGTACCGTGGAGAGATTCGAGGATATTCAATGGTGAATTCGAATTTAGGTAGGATACAAAGCCAATCATCCTTCAACCACCGAATGCACATTAAGTAGTCATATGTACTGGCTGGCATCTCGAGTGAGGACTTAGATGATAGTTTCATTTATCAGCTGAATTTTCTTCCTCTGGACTTCTCGTAGCTGTTGGTAGCGTGAGATTTGGGAATTTTCCATTTTCCTTCTTTAAATGGAATTCATCTACCCTGAAAAGCTAATAGAAGCACCCTACAGCTAATTTAACCTTTCTTGAAAATCACAAGTAGTGTGCACCCCACGAAACTCTAGAGAACCTCGAACTCGCGAATTCCCAGTTAGTGGTTTAACCACTACTCATTCGGCCACGAGCGGCTTATCAGCAGCGTGGTTAACTCGCATTTAAACAGGACATAGCACCACTCATCTGATAACAGGTCAGTTGTGGAGCCAGTCAACGTGACCACGCAATATGGTTTACTTGATTGAAGGAGACTGGCCGTATATCCTGTTTAATTGCCAGTTAATCGCACTGCTGACCAGCCGCTTGTTCCTTCGTGTGGGAATCATTACGCACACGCATCCCGCAAATCTCTAAAATGCTCTGGATCGGCGTACTTCCAATTATTTTGAACAATGAAATTATGGTTAATCGTCTGAATTTTTTATTCACTCACATCAAACGCTGGATATTCGATTTTCCAAAGTTTCTCATTTACGGAAGTTTTCCCTAAGAGTGGGATGTGTACAGAACTCAGTAACTGTAACTTTCGATGTCGGACCGTTGCGAAACTCTGATAAAGCCAGTCCAGAAACAGGATACTTCAGGAAATACGCCACTCATTGAAAGACAGTGGTTCTTCATACCGTTCAATAAATTATGCGGAAGATTTTCGCTTGAATTCTACTGTACAGTCTGGATCAGTCTCTTCAGCCCGCCACGGTATCGGTAAAACGAACCTTGTCATTACGTCCGACGCGTTTTTGAGTGGATTCACGTTGGTAGGTACGCGCAGGACAGTCTGATATTCAAACAGAAGAAAAGGAAGTTGGCTTCCGTAAGTAGACTCTATGCATCGAGGTGCACCGAGGTGCATTCATGTTATGGCTCCGTGACGTGACAGCCATTATTGAACACAGTCGGGATTCCCGTCTGGCCCGTTTGAAAAGAACAAATAGACCTGGTTTAGCAGCTTTACGACAGGGCATCGCGTCCAGCGTGTCAACTTTTTCAACTTGGGCCTAACTGTATTGAGACGGTACGTACTGTAGATAAAGCAGACAAGCCGTTTCACACAAACCACAGCAGTTCCAAAACATGACAGAGCGTGTTGGGTTTCGTAGCGATCTCACATACAAACACATGTTGAGTAGGGGTGCTGATCAGCTGGTATCTCACTCAGCCAGCGTTTAGTGCTTCAAATTTCATTTCTATTGGCCAAAGCGTCGTGTGAAATGGTGAAGTGGACAGAGCTGCTAAACACCGGAAAACAGGAACGAACAGGCTCAACACAAAACAAGTGCTGGTCTTAACTTGAATATACTTCGCACGAGATGTTGACTGATTCAGTGTTGACTGACACAAGCTGGTGCGTATTACAGTCTGTGATTGGGATCATTCCATTCCTGATGGAGATCACTTGAGATAGCCGGAATGCCAAGCAATAAAATTATGCTCAAAAACGTGTTTTTTCTCCACGTTACACTAAGCAGTATGACAAAGAGTGGGTACGCATACCGGCTGTTAGATTTAGGTCAATCGTCGGGTGAAATCTCTATTGAAATTTATGAATATTCTCATTACCCACAGTCTACCGCTCAACAATAGCCACACCTATCATCTAGTATTGCTGTCTCTGAAATAAGTAAGTTGTAGGTCGATTCCGCAACGCTGCAGGAATGGGCCATTAAAATGGTCCGATTTACTTGACTGTCAGAGAACAATGATCTGCACTTTGTTGCGCCGTAGCACAACAGATTACACTCGCCATTTGATTCCCGTAAGATAGACCGTCCCACTCTTTCACGCTTAGCCTTCCGCAAGTACACACGGCTGCACGCATCGGCGTAACAAGTTACTTAGCAGCCTCCCAAAACAACGGATACGATATGGAAGGTGGTAGGGCGGTTAGGAGGGAGATCAAATCCTAAAATTCTGGGTGCTGTCGTGTGATTCGCCTTTCAGGATTGGTTTTTGGTGACCCTCTTTGAGCCTGGCTTACGACCGTAGCTAGCAGCGTCCGGCTGTCAGGTTCTTTGTAGGTTGCCTGGAATTGTGAGCACCCGACTGTGAAAGCGCTTCTTTTCATTATTCTTTCGATTGCTTATTTTAACGTGGTTGACCGCCGTTAGGCAGAAGTACTCCCACACCAGTTTCGTTGTCCAAGATTAGTTACTCTCCTTGTGTTAATAAAGTTATGGAGATGAACAGTAAGTTCAATATTATGCAGGACCGGGTGACCGACGGGTTTTGAGAGACAAGCTGAGAGCCGAACGTGAGAGGATTGGATTCAAAAATAACTACCCACTAATTTCCTTCGACAGCGGAGCTGAGGCATCCAGATATTCAATAATACTTCAGTTTCTCTGGGGATTACATTTGCAGGAGTTTTACATCGACTGTACGTTTCTGGTGGATTGTCAACACCAACGCCGAAGGGTTTGACGACTGGGTAATACATGTGCCCTTGATCCCAAGTGGGAAGTGCAGATACGTTGCTGAACGAGGGAGCCTACGGGAATTCGGGATCGAAGAACTGCACGGAATTGAACCCTCGGATAGCTGAAGACGTGAGTCCACGACTAGTTGTTTGTTCAGAGTTCACACGAACACCAGGTTGGGTGCGGTTTTCCCGTGAGACGCACAGCTTCGTGTACTCAAATGGGAAGTGCATTGAAGTAACTGCCTTGCATGATACAGGTGATTATGTGTTTCGAACTACACACAAGTCATTCAAGTCATAAAGATACCGTAACGAGATGAACTAATGCTCGGGACTCATGAGGTAAGAAAAATAACATAAGAAGAACCCCATTCACGTTCGATCGCGGACCGAACTCAACTGGCATAAGTCGCCCAAGGTGTGACCCTACACGCTACACGCTTAAGACATTCCCAGTTTTCACTGGTTAACCATTGTGGACGACTGTACTGTAGCAAGAGACTTATTTACCTGGGGCTAGCAGTGAATTCCAATCATTTCCTTAGGGAAATCATCATTATCAGCAACAGCATAGAAAATAATACCAGCGTAGAACATAAGTGATTGTGTGTGGTAAGAGCACATTACATCATCCAAATAAAGCCTGGTATTACCAACTCACCACAGGCACTCAGCTTATCTATGTCTCCAACGATCTGTCAGGTAATCTAATTGGAAACTGAGTAAACGAACACTGATTTGCGGCTGCATCTTTCAGAGCCCCCCCAGGCCATAGTTCTGTCCAGATTAAGGAGTCGATATCGAGAATTTGTACGGCTGATAAGTGTGAATCAAATTCATTCCCTGTTCCTTCAATCGCATAGGCAATTTGGGTTCAGCCAAGGTGGAGCGTTTGTGAACCAACGAAGTTTGGAATGGTCTGGAAGAGATCTCTTTCGATGCCATAGCATCAAAGTAGCGACCCATTAAAATATGTTCCGCAATACCATCCCGTTATCTGTACCTGTCTGCATCGGCTTAGGCAGGCGCTTTCAATATTCTATGATCGTCAGGCAAAATGAGATAAAACCATAGTTTGATCATGCGGTTAGATGGAATACCGATTCTATCACGTTAGTCACAATTTCACATATCTTCATCTATCTCAGTCCAAATAAATAAACACCATGAATGAGAGAAGAGTCAAACAGTGCCGGACGTGTAGTTTAGCTCTGCACAAGCAAACAGACAAACCCAGTGGTCTACCCATCAGCAGAAATAGAATCCGTGATCAGAACCAATAGACAGATGTATAAAAACACATGATAATCTCAATAATACAGGCAAGAAGCTCGAAAAGTGCATTTAAACTCAAGGATTGTAAATGCATTCTGATGAAAGTCAGCACCATTTGTAACAATGGAAGAGCTTCCCGTGGGTGTTTATCTGCAGTGAAGTGACACAGCAGGGATGGAAAAATAAAAAGAATCTGGTTAGTGAAAAACACGTGATAAGTGCTATATACCATTGTTGCTACACTACCACTTAAAAGAGGCAAGCTAATTCGTTGGGCTGAACTCGGGAACAAGGAAATTTGGAACGTATTGAGGTTCTTCATCAAATGGGCAGATGAAATCTAGTATCCTTATGAGTTTGTTTATTCAAAACGGCCACGCACTGAGTGGGCTGGTTTTCGTCGCAAAAGTTGTTGTCGAACCAACGAAAGGATGAGACGGTAATCCCTTATAAGGCGACCTTTGAGCGGCCGGTCAAAAGCGGTTGCCGGGCAACACGATGTCATGTGCTCGGTATGCCATTTGCGTTATTTATTTGACTCTGGAGTAAGAGGACTGTAACTGGGAAAGCGTTCTAAACTGTTGCAATCAGGAAGCTGGCATCTAATTTCACTAAGGTTACACTAGGAGTTTGACGCCACTAACCAAAAAGCAATCACTGTGAAGGGGTTGTGTACGGTAGACGGATAAAATGGGGTGGATGGGGTTTACTACATTATTGGTTGATGAAACTATGTTAAACTGAGTGTACAAGTGTTTGTTTCGCTGAGGTGAGAGTTTGGAACCGCACGCCATTGCTGGTGAGCAGTGAAGAACGGAATTACCATGCACAACCTAAATGGGTCGTGCTCCCGAACAAATGAAATCAACAGTTCAAGGTAAGCGAAACAGCACTAGTTGAGGCAAATCCAACTCCCGCGGTGAACATAGCTTATGGATTTCATTTCGAGTTCCACAGCGAGTCAACCCCTTACTGCATACTTTCAGTCACATCAAGAAGCAATAGTGCGACCAATAGAGTACATGTATATGCTTGTCAGGAATCTTTCTACTTTCTTATAGAAAACAAGAGATTGTTCAATTTGGATCGCTATCTCTACCACCTTTCTTCTTTTAGTCGATTGCTTCATCTAAGTAAATTGACCGTGTGGCAGTAAAACACTGGTGACCTAGGACGGAGTCGTTTTCAATAATGCTAGTAAGCATCTCCAGATAGCTAAGGGCCTACAAAAAGCATAGACATTGCAGGATTCTGCTACCATTGAATTAACGTAGGATATACCTTATGAATCTCAACGGCGCTGCTGGCATCCTAGTGAGATGTTCAGTCGTGAAATTACGCAAGACAGTGAGGAACACAGAGGCTGCAAAGCATAACACTGCAAAAGTTGTTTGGAGAGGATTTGCAGTAAAGCGATCGTGTGTCACATAGAAATTGATACGAAGATAAGCATCTATTTGTAACACAGTGTCTGCATACTGTACATTAAGGGGAAATGAAGACGACCCCATAATCTCTCAGAATCTCACATCTCGCGACACCATTATGGGGAAACGGTCACTAAAAATGAGAGACTTACGGGACAGACAGTCAGAAGGCAACCTGAAAATTCCAACTAACTCACATGCACAACACAAAGAATAAATCAGCTTACCTAACAGGCCAGTTTCACCAACTACTCGTCTCCGATGTGAAAATCGGCTACTTTGTTCATTGTTTCAGCTAATCCATCATCTCCGGGAGCCCCGATGAACCGGGTATCAAGTACATGATTGTAGAGAGCAGTCTCAGTTTGACTAGAAATGGTAGATTTCGAGGCGCTTTCCTGAAGTGTCTGCTTGGAGCTTGAGCTGAATGCTGCGGAGGAAGGGTGATCACCGATCTCACTGAGCAATGCTGTTGGGCTCAAACGGAACGGATTGCGCAAGTAACGTTCGAGCTGCCCACTTGCTGCCAACACAAGACCGACAAAGAACAGAGATGGGTGCGCTGGCCTGCTCGTGTATTCGGGATGAAACTGTGTAGCTACGAAGTACGGATGACGAATGGAGCCGCAGTTGGAAGGAATTGGATCATCTTTGACTGGAGAACATGCGTCAATGCTCTGAGATCTGTCACGACTAAGCTTTCCGTAAGGAAGAGGGCGCAACAGCTCTATAACTTCCATCCGATTACCGACGTCAGCATCACGACCAACAACAATCAGGCCAGCACTCTCAAGTTCGTCCACAATGTCTGGATTGACTTCGTAACGATGACGATGGCGAGCATCAAAGAATGGAGAGTTAATCAAGCGATGAACGACACTGTCAGAGGGCCTAGAGGCGGCTGAATCTCCAGCACCGGTAATGGGTAATCCAGATCTGCCATAAGTGCGACCTATGTAGGTATCAGCTGTTGATGAGAAGTACAACGATGTACGCCGGCGACCCAAGCGCATTGTACCGCCCATTTGACCGGGATTGAACTCAGGCATATCAATCACTACAGGATGTTTTGTCTGGGGATCGAATTCGGTAGAATTGGCATCCTGGAAAAGAAAATCATGCACAAGAGGTGAGTGAAATTAAACGATGGCGAAAAAAATAACGAAAACCACGTGCTTACGGTGAATGAATGATACCAGAATATCGCGAGTGCAGTATTGCAATCTTGAACAAACACCCTGCGGGAACAGTTTGTTATTGAGGAGGATGGTGGTATCACACTTAGTGTAAGTCCTTGTTAGATAGTTCGTCATAATCAAATTGCCCAAACGAATACACCAACGACCACCGAGCTGTTTCTTCGTGAGTCGGGTAACGAACACAGATCGTATTGCACATTTCCTACGCCAAGGTGATGGAGTTTTTGTTACATCTGAATGTTTGAAACAGCTTTTTTCGAATGGACGATGTGGTATTTCAGTTCGTCCGGAGTGAATATGCCAGCTCTCCAATATCCTAGCAAGCATGTGAATGAAACACACTGGTGCAACATGGATAAACCATGCAACGCCCACTAGCCATTACAATCGGGATAAGTGAGAGCAATCATCAGCCAAATGTATTCAAACCTTTGGTTAAGTTGCCGATCGTACACAATCAAACTAGCCCACATTCCTAAAAACATCTCCAAAGTCAAATTAAGTCATGGAAACCTCACCGATGCTCCTAGATAGTGCAACAAAGGTGTTAACAATGTCAGGTGACACTCGGAGAGTAAAATACCAATCAGATGAATAGAGCACTTTAAAAGTTGTGATGTATCCCACAACCAATCATGGGAGCACCAACGTCCCGACTTCGGTTTCGGGGAGGGGGTTGTTCCTTTTAATGGAAATTAAAACGAAACGTTGACGCACTGTCAGTTTGATCCTCTAGATGAAGGTATCTCCTCTTGATGCGTTTGCACTTGTAGTTACTCTATAAAAACAAGCAACCAACAAAAAATCTGACGGCGGGATAGATCGAGATAAGATGTGTGATAATGACGATGACGGAACGCGTGCCAAGTTAAATGATGCTGGTGAAAGGAAGAAGGCCTTCGCTGCGGAGTTATTTATTAGAAAATGCCAACTGAACGGTTACAGACTATTGAACAGGGAAGCAAAACTCTAATTTGCACCCTAGTTACAAAAACTGGACACCCATCTTCTCCTGAACGAGTCTTCTTGAACTTTCCTGGAGATTCATTGACTCAACTCATTCGTCGGTCAAATCCAAGCAAATGTTACAAAGTGGCTCCACGAATTCCGCAACAGATCTCCCTTTTTCAATAGACGCAAAGCGAAATTCTACGAACACATACCACTCGCGTGCCTCTCCATCAGTAGCGTCACCGTTACACTGGTCGTTAAGCCGTGGAATTGGTCACTGGTGTATTGTAGCCATTGTTCATATCGAAATATCTCAGCCAAACAATCCGTTTCAGGAGCACGTGCAATCTACGAAAACAGTTCACTTATGGTGTAAAAATGTGTCACGTGATACTCTGGACAGATCAAAATGACCAAACTATCCGCTATTTGGCCAAATTACTAAAGACCAGATTTCAACCAACTATGCTGAAATAACATCCTGGAACGCGTAGAGCTCAGTTAATGACTGACAAGGAATTTGAGTACAACCTGACGACTAGATGGGTACCGGCGAGGAAAGGAAACTGTATTGAGGCTGATGACACTCGAAGAAATTCGGACGCCAACAAATATGGTAGGAAACACAATCGAATTAGTTGTAAGCAATTAACATAGATACTGGGACGCGGAAATTCGAAGCTGTTATGAGGTTCGACGGAACAATTCGTCTTCATAACAACATCGAATTCCGCGGCAAATGAGTAATTCTTAACAGGTTCAGAACAGGTCAATCACGATGGAATAGTGAGGTCAATTCAATAGGATGGCACTAATGGCCATTCATTGTGGAGGGGGGGGGCATTTTACAGTCTGACTGGGTGGTTAGGCTAGAGGGATAATTAAGAAGAAGCAGGATCACAAAATGGGGTGAAGGAGCCCTCGGTGTGCTGACACCTCAACCTGTTCCATCAATTAAGGTTGCAGGGTATCCTCTATCGTTTGGAGTTTGACTATCCTTGTAGTGGAGTGAATGGACATTAAAATATGGCACGCTATTCAACTCTACGCAATCAAACGTTGAAGAAAGGAGTCGGAATAAGGACAGATAGTAAACAGCATAGATTTGCCCACAAATCGATAAAAAATCCGGTAATTAATCTCACCTTCCACCCCAACACATTACGAGCAAATTCTATGACGGCACATTGTAGCCCGAGACAAAGACCGAGAAACGGAACTCCACGCTCCCGACAAAATCGTATGGCCTCAAGTTTCCCCTCCAAACCGCGGGGGCCGAATCCACCGGGGACGACCACAGCATCGGCGCTACTAACAGACAACCAGGCTTGATGAAACTGATCTGGATTAGAAAGCCGAACCTGTTCCTCGAGATTTTCGCAACAGACAAGCTCGATTTCCATCTTACAATCAGTGTAAATGGCTGCGTGTTGCAAAGCCTGGAGAGGTAAAAGACAATGTACGGCACGGATGTGAACGAGAAGCTAAGTACACACGAGAGAAATAGGAAAAGCTCTCCAAAAGCGGAACAGTTCAAGATATACTATGCTAGTGTTTTCAGTGCGCTTAGGAGTGTGTTCGGGAGCTCATCATGATAAATGGTAACTTTATTAAACACACTGAAAACCTTCGTAACAGAAAAGTTCACAGAAAATGGCCGAACTCTCAATCAGTCAAAGGTGCTCCTTTTCCGCGGAAATTCCGTAGGAATTCACCCAACCTAATTGAGGAATGCCTCTGTGTGCCCCACAACTCTCAGTGAATAGGAAATAACTAACAATCATGATGTTATACAGCCTTAACGCTTCAAATGGTGTAACGGTTTTCTGACAGTGTACACCAGGCATCGCACCTTGTTCAAACTTAACTAGATGGTGTCCATTGCGCAGAAGCGAGTTTAGTTAACCAGCCCGGGAATCTCGTAAACCATGTCACCTGGTGTTCATATGTTTGGGGTTAAGATAATAATTGTTGTCTTCAGAATGGTCTATAAACGGTGCATTTCCGCAGCACAGAACAGTAGACAACCTACGAAAGCGGTGAGAATTAGAAGTCGAACTATTCTATACGTACGAACGTATGCAACAAAAGTACGGAAGTACTTGAGCGCTCTATGATTACGATCAACTTGTACTGTAGCCCCATAAAGTCGGAAGTAAACCAAGCTACCGGGTGTTTGGGGGGGACATCTCACAACATTTACTTTGTAAAATGTTCTCGGCTTGTTTGCCATAATTGTTGCGCACGAATTGCAAGCATGCAGAGATTGGGATGAATTCCACGCACTAAGATGTCAGTAAATGGATCAGTAAAACACACTTTCTGCATTAGGAGCCATGTAGAGCGAGGAATTGACGAGCAGATCACCGCTCAACGTACATTAAGCTAATCACTATCCCATACGTCAACTGCGACTTACCACTGAAGTACGGATTTTGACCAATACGGGCCGCAAAGAGGACACAAAAGCTGGGTAGAAACTAAGACTACTGGGATGGACCCTAGCATAAGACGAGTCAGTAAGTCAAGAGACCAAAAAACATTGAACGGAAATTGCGTCCAAAAAAATGTACCTTATGAACCGGTCAAGAGCTACAACGGAATAAATGACTGATCAGATCAGGCATTCAATCGGCCAATAAAACGGCATGTAGACTGGCTGAAACAGAAAGCAGAATGGGTCAATCGGAAAAAGGGAAGAGAACCGCTGGATTGAAGCTACTCAAAAAACCAACCATAAGCAAGACAAACAAATCCCGAAATGAACAACCAAACAAAATGCCAGACAATTCCTAACCAATCACGCGAGGAGGCATCGTCAGTGCGAGGTTGGGCGGATGATTGCTCCAATTCTGTTTGCGTTCCGATAATTTATAACGACCTGGCACCTGAAACGACAAACTGAATCTAGCGCCAGACAAGCTTCAAACAACCAATGGTCGTGGGCTGCCGAAGAGTTTTCAGCAACCTTGTGAGTAGGTTCCTTTATGAAAACCAATGGGTACTCTTTGGAAGCTTTCTAAACACAAGCAGGAGTGGAGGAGTCACTCGCCGAACCGCACATGGACGATATTTTATCGCATGATAGCGAAGAATTTGCAAGTCAATCGCCAAGCTCGCCGAACAGATCAACCGTCACCTGATTAACAGTCATTCGTTTATTCTGTTAACCTTAGGACCAGGGCGAGATGGGCCAAGTGGTCAGATCGCGAATTTACTGACCGGAAGGCCCATGGTTCGAACCCGACCTCTGACTCTCGAGTTCCCCTGTCTAGACTTGAGCGACCTGGCAATATCTCAGCCCTCCTGTCTCCTTCGTGCGTCATGGCAGCTAGGCACCGAAAGGGTGCTACAGTTGAACGATAACTTTGGGACTACCTAAGTTATCTAGGAAATATTCCATCTGGAATGGACATCGCTGACAGTAGATTGTCGAAGCACACCAGTGGACCACCTATACGCACGCACTGATCCTAACCGGACTGTCCCTAAGCACCAAAGACATTTTCAATTTGGAAAATACATCTAACGCTCACTTTTAGTAGTGAAATGTAGGCATCGTTGAGTTTGGTGTATTTGCCCACAACAGCAACACGAACCGGGTGTGAAGCTTGCTTCAGGCGACGAGTCAGCGCCTTCCATTTGCCCAAGACAGGGTACTCGATCTGAGGCTTCGGACTCAACCGGAAATGTTCGAGGAGAATGCTGCATACACGCTGTTTGTCCAACATCAGTGGAACTTCGTACAGGTGAGTGGAGTCAGTGACAGCGATCACCTGGGAGTCAGAAGAGCATAGAATGGAAAAACTAGCACCAATTGTGAGCCAAAACTGTTCTTACCACTGCATTCACTGGTAAGGAAAGACAATCTGATCAAAATTTAGTGATGTGGAAGCGCAACATTAGTGTGAGGAAGGAAAAAATCCTCTGGTTCTATCCCTTACCTCATTTCGTAAATCTACTCACAGTGATCTTATTTGAATCAGTCAAACCAGTACTGAATTTAACCAGTGAAGTTGATACAGTATGCATGGTAGTGTGAATGTTCTAGTGACTCTGGTTAACTCATAGTAACATTGTTGGAGAACCTTAATTCGTACTTGTGAAATTACAGTCGAAAGAGACAATGAGAAACCGTACAACACTGAAGGCTGATGGATGGATGGATGTGCATTCAGGTGATTCTGGTTAGAGATTTGGTTAAATCTTTAACCCACGGAAAAAATTGTGCACTGCTGTGTGAAAAAATCATCTTCCTATCTTTGTAAGATAGAAAATAAGCAATCAGCAGCTGTCGGAGTAAGCAGGTGATGTAGTAAGCAACAACGAACCCCAAATCCAAGAAAAAAATCGCGACAATGCGAAGGGGAATCCGGCAGTTCAAACAAATCGCGACTGAATTCCACAGAGGAGAAGTAACACAAAACAAGTAAAACTCACATGGTCTACTGGAACCTGGCTGAAGAGGCTTATTTTTTCTACAACACTCTGCGATAGGGCAGAGGTACACCGACACATGAGCAGGTCCGGGTGCAATCCACACGCTCGTACCTCACGCACAGAGGCCTACACGTTAGGTCAAGACGAAAAAAGGACCAAATAATTAGATGTTGTCAAAGTAGTAGTGGTTAGGAAACTGTGTAAAACGTACCATATTTGTCTATCAATGGACCCATGACACCGAACAAGTCAACAGCTAACAATGTCACCATAGTTCATACAGTTTTGGTGAGCGGTCACTTAGGTGTACACCTCCTCCTTTAAGTATAAATGAGAAAATGGTAATGTACACGTTAGCCTTCGTTCTGGGATAATGGACCAAAGCATCAAGTTATACAGAATGCCCAGCTTTAAAAGTTGGTATGCCTACATACGCAGAGTTGATCTGGCAAACAGCGTCGGTCGAGCATTTTGGTTTTAAACCATTTCGAAGAACAGAGCCATAGCTTTTCTCACTGTGACCATTCTTCGGGAATGACAAACCATTTTCATGGGATTTGTAATGAAGCATTCCATGCAGCACCGCCGGTGTTCGATTCGAGTCAAGCACAGTTAGAAGGAGGCAGTTGGACCGGCAAAGTGCTATGGTGAGGTTCAATTCACCGTTTGCTCACAAAGGATTAAAAAGTGTGTCCATAGACCAGTTAACAGTACTTATTTCGTCACTGTACTGTGGTGAAGGGCAATACGACTGGATTGGTATTATCACGTAGTATGGGGTAAATCAAACCTGGGATGGATTAAAAACACTTACTTGAGTTGGTTTTGTCTTCGGTTCTCCCACTGTAGACAACATAGGCACGAGACTAACGTGTACACAGCAAAAATTTGTACTACCCACACGGAACAACATCTGCCGGAATGCTTCCACAAAGGGCATGGACTCGATATCACCAATAGTACCACCGAGTTCGATGATACACACCTCGGGGATCTGGCCGCTTTCATCAACAGGAATCTTGGCTACATCAGCAACCCACTCCATTATTGTATCCGTTACGTGTGGAACTACCTGAAACATCACAGATCAACAGAGAGCACCGTAAGATCAATACATCAGAAAGACAGGGCGCGCCTATATACCAAGCCATCACTTGTTGTGTTCAACGATAAACAGAATATTTGTACACTCCGTTCGGGAAGTAATTGAAGGTGATGGTGTGTTGGACAGGCAGACGGGCGTAACTTTATTCTAAACATGGTCTTTGATTATCGAAAACTGACAACCGAGCTGAGACGAGTAACTTTTCAGATGGCGCTCATGCGTAACGTTCCGACCGCTTAGCTTTCTCCGTCTTAAGAACCATAGGACAAAAAAATGTGACAAAAAAAAGATGGCTTTGCTCCGAATCTCTGAAGTTGTGTTTAAAGCGCCACAAGTAAAGAAATCGTCTCTTACGTAGCAAAAAGTATGAAGCCATGGGACGTTTGAATACCTTACCTTCAACTGAGAGATGGAGTTCACACTGAAACTCCGAACCTCACAATAAGTATAGGTAATCTGCTTAAGAGTAGTCACATGGATCTTTTCCTAAGAAATGTCAATCGAAAAGCCAGTGATTACCAGATCACGTGAGGTGAATAGCGCCATTAAAGAAAGTATGGCGATCATTGCTCAGCAAGAGTCACTTACACTGCTGGTCAGTCACTCGTAGCTAAATTGTAGAGCGTCCGAACCCTTATACGGATGTTCCTATAGGCTCGGCTAATGATTCTCAGCAAGAGTGAAAGTGATGTAAATGGGACCAATCTATGCTGAAAAGCCGAGAAGCACTGTACAGCTATTTCATACTTATTGGGAACCATCATCACACCTCTCGAAACTCCAGAGTCGTGAACCCACGACCTCCCAGCTACACGTCTGAAATCTTAACCGTCTGGTCACTAGCAGCTGATCAGCATTGTGTTTAACTCGCGCTCGGACGGGACACAGCGCCGCTAATCCTTCGATCACGGGACCAACATCACGTGGTCACGTGTGTTGACTGCGTATTGATTAGAGATTTCCCAACAAGGCACTATGAAATCCGGAACTTACAATTGAAAACCGCACTCGTGCAACATAGAGTAACAAAATAAAAAATCTGAACGATTGACGGTAAAACAGTGTGAGCAGGGTTGAGGGAAGAGGTAGCTCTTTCAGTTCAAAACAAACAGCACCATAAATACGGAGAATTGCGGATGCTGTGCTAACAGAAACAAGCCACATTCCTGCAAGTAAGAGCACGGAACGACTAGCATTTTTTAGAATTCAGAGGAAGGAAAAGCCGCTGAAGTTCTTCTAGCTCAGTACAGATCCTGAATCACTAAGGAACATGTCCCCTCTCACTGTATGTCATGCACATCTGAAGAACAAACGTTTCACTCCAGAACTGTATTCCGAATGGGTACTTCATTGAATGCCTCACACTAGGGTGTGCAGCGACCCAAATGGCGACATACATATTTATTCGCTTTAAAAATGCTGTTCTCCAAATACCCAGTAGCGCGATCTTTTCTCCAAAATCAAACTATTGGATAGAGTGTCGAAACCCCTCCCCTGATTGTCGGTGAACGAAATTGCTGAGACCTGGGAAAACCTTCTTCACAAAAACGAAGTCCGTTCAGGTGCATTATGTTGTGAGAACCTCTCTGTGGCGCACTTGCTTGTGGCTGAGAATTCTCTTAATTTGGGGGTGTTTGTTATGATTGTATTCTACTATGGTAGCCATGATGTGCTTAAATCCTCTATCCCTAGGCTAAACTTTCACTCTCAGAGCGACACATTTGTAGTTTGCACCAAATGAAGCTCACAGTCTGTATCAGAAATAGGGGCGTGGAGCATTTTGTTATAACGCGTCTTGCAGGTGCGCAAAAAGATGCGTGTCTAACAACTATTTACCCGCGAAAAGCTTTGACGAGGCTGATCTCTTGATTCGGACATAGGAAGGGTAGGGCTAAATCAGGTCATGATATACCACATGAGTATGGCACTGAAATGGGAAACCACACGCAATAACAGGTGAGCAATGATCTTTACCTGGACGGTTTTGCCTAAGTAGTCACCCTGACGCTCCTTCTTGATTACGCGCTGATATATTTTTCCCGCGGTTATATTGTTGTCCTTGGTGAGTGTAATATCCAAAAAGCGTTCATAGTTTCCCAGGTCCAGATCAACCTCGTTTCCATCGTCTAAAACGTAAACTTCGCCATGTTCATAAGGCGAAAATGTGCCAGCATCGATGTTCAAGTAAGGATCAATTTTGATGCAAGTCACATTCCATCCATAAGCCTTTAAAATCGTCCCCATGCTGCTCGAAATGATCCCCTTCCCAATGCCACTGATGACGCCGCCGGTAACCAAAATGTACTTCATGTTTTAGCTGAATGCTGAAAATAAAGAAACAACGAAACTACTAGTGGTTGAGTGAGACAATAAACAAGTTGGCCATTGCGACATGAAAACAAGTGGTCCAAAAGTCGGCAGGGTCAAGATACTATAACTAACACGTGTACACAAAACGCCGGTTGCAAAACTTGTTTGAAGTGCAACGGTGACGAACGAAAAGGTCAGACGCATAGCATCCATGGTCAATACTGGCGATTAAGTGCGACATTATCCTAGGAACGGGGGTGAGATGGACCAAGTGGTTAGAGCACGAATCTACTGACCGGAAGGTCCGTGGTTCGAACCCGAGCTCTGCCTTTCGACCTTCCCTGTCTAAGTTTGGGCAAGCTGGCAGTATCCCAGCCCTCATGTGGCATGGCAGCTAGGCACAGAAAAGGTGCTATAGCTGGATGATTTATTTATTTCAACATAGGAACACATAGCTTGATAGTTAACGAGTAGAATTTCACAAAACATGGACACAATGCAAAACCATCAACAGTTAATGATAAGATGACCTTGTGGAAGCCAACTACACTGTCGTTTTGTTAACATGCTGCATATTTTTGATTAGCATTAGATGTGGATGTATGAGAAACACTATACAAATCACATGTCAGTAGGAGCTGCGTTCGAGTGTGGCCGCATTCTTATCTAGTATTATCCAAGCTCTCTCTGTGATGTCTATCTTTGGTCACTGTACGAAACTTAAGAAAAGACAATATTTTCCATCCAAAACAAAAGTCCTTTCGATAAGGTCAGTTTTTAAATACATTTATTTGTTAAGCACCACGAAGCCTGCATGGTTTGCTAATACCTCGAACATCACCGTAAGCTCGAACGTCAAAGTTACGGACTAAGAAAAGACTGTTGTAATTTCGGTGAACCGTGTCAATCTTGAATCTAGCTCTGACAACCAGTGGCTTGAACACGGGTAAAAGAAACCAGACCACATTTTGAGATGCTGAAGCCAGTCATTATACCAATCAGGCTGGATCGTTCTACATCGTTTATAGAGGACAACCCGAACGTTCAGTAAGTAATAGCTCAGAACAGAGGGTAAAAATGGGGAATGGTTGAAATCAGGTTGATCTTGCCTTCACTCAGTCATCAGAAACGCACCCATAGAGACTTTTATAAAGAATCTAAAGGTGCGGTTTATCGGTTTTAACTAACAAAATAAAACTTAGACCGTAACTCATCCGAAGTAGGCGAAATGGTGGGTAGTGTCTGGTCCTGAAATGCTAATAGTAAATGAGGAAATTATACATACTGCACGCTACTTTCCACCGGCAGTACCCCGACTTTTATAAAAAGATTGCTCATCGTCTCTCCAAACATTCACCTCTTGATTGTCGGATTATTTTGGCGCTACCTCTTCAGTGGGGACTTTTGATGAATAGTGCGACTCTCACAAGGGCGGTCCACACTCGAAGTGACATGTAACCGTTGGTTGGTTCTTGGAAGTATCTGCCGAAAAGGTGTCCAAAATATGTTGTCCGGTTTTACGGCTGAGCGTTTCGAACCCATTTCGCTTTTCAGCTATTCCGTAATACTATTGAACCCACTGTTCATTCCAACTGTAATGTCCAAAAATAACTTAATTGTTCCATTGATATGGATACCATAACCACCTTCTTGTATGTTACGAATATGCCTATTCTAGCTGGCTGATAGATGCACGTTAGATTCCGAGGAAAATTAGCTTAGGACGATCAAAGTAAGGAATTGTGAGATTCTAGGGATAGTTCCGTTGGGCGCCTAAAACGCCTAACCTTTTTAGGTGGTGATGCCAATTCTTAGAAAAGCTCTCGGGCTTTCATGCGAAACAAACTAATCATGACCATCAACTAGGGTCCCTATGGAAGGGTATGTCTTCTGATGTGGACTCGCACTGAAAAACACTGCCCACAACCCTGAAAGATGCGGAGCACTCCGCTTGTGGAACAATGCAGGAAAATATATTCAAGCATTGGATTTCGACAAAACTACAAGCGCTCCACGATCGGGACCCTATTTCTACTAGCCAAAAGCCCAGTACAACTCGAGAGATTGTCAGATGTCAAGTGAAAAGCATCTGCGCGGATCGAGAAGCTTGGTGGATCCAGAAAGTTGATGAGGATATCAGTATCCCCGAGAACCGTTTACTTGTCAAGTTATTGCCAAATTTGCATTATGGAAAACCAGATTTTTAATTTTCGCGCCCTTTTCGCCATGTTACACATTTTTTCAAAGGGATCATACTTACTTCCCATTGGTCAATTGCACTTTATATATTCAAACTAATTTATTATTCCCCATGGGTGTTCAAATTATATACATTCAACGGTGCTCCAACTGTACTTTGCCTTTGGTTAAGGCAGTAAAAACTCTACTCCGAAGGTTCAGTCTTCTTCTCTCTGCGCTACGAGTAGTTGGGCTCGCACCATAGCTGGGAGTTTGTGCGCTCGTTCTCAAGTCGACTATGATCATGGGTCCTACACGCTCAGATACGTAACATGGAGAGATGTAAGCCCAAAACTCTGGAACGGGTGTAAAGTATTCCAGCTGATACAGGCAATAAGATCAAGGGGGCCTCCGGTGATCGAACCACCCACTGATAAGGTTTCGCTAGTATTTAAAAAGGACGAGCGAATCGTTGGGTATTTGGTGACCCTGACGCTATGCCCAGGGCTGAAAGCACCTTACTACTCTGGATCCCAGTGAACTGTCGTTTTTGCGCTGTGCGGTTGTCTGGCTCAATTAAGATCAAAGCAGGTTGATGCGGTAAACGACCTTTATTTGTCGTATCTGCATACGCTCCAACAGACTGCTGTTCTAAGGCTGAGAGGGGCAAGTCCGGAAGAAGCACAGTTAGGTGGTAGGCTTGGAGTTAATGCTCATCGTATGAATAATGAGGAGTGACTTCTTCCGTTGTGTGCAGATCATCTTCTGTTCCGGGCCAGTACGAACTTCCAACACAGACGTTCACATCGATTTACCAAACGACAGTTGTGGACCTAACTGGAAAATGTGGCTATCAGTTACCGAGAGAGAGCTTCAGTTAAGGACTGTCGTTTCTTCTGGTGTAGGCGACACTGACCATGCCACCGTTCGGATCCGGATATCATTCCACTGTATGTGAGAATTACGCGTGCGAAAGCTCAGTCCATCAACTTCGACAAGTTTCAGTAGCTGAAGAGAGTCGAGCTGATCTGGCTAGAAATCTACGAGAAACACACAGTCACGTAAACGAAGACTGCTTAGAGGATGAATGGAGGCGCGTTAAAGAAACAATGCTCTCAGCTTTCATAACTGTTTGTCCAGGCTATCTGACTCGATTAAATGTATTCTGGATAGTTTCGAGATCAGAAGAGCTTAAAACAAATCGTTCAGCTGTAGCACCTTTCCAGTGTCTAACTGTCATACCACCCGAAGGAAGCACCAGGGCTGGGATACTGCCAGGTTCCCCAAGCCTAGACAGGGGGAGGTCGAGAGGCAGAGGTCGGGTTCGAACCACAGACCTGCCGGTCAGTAAATTTGCGCTCTAACCACTTGGGCCATCTCGCCTCAACAGACCTTATTGTTGTCAAAAAGGCCATACCAGAAACTAGCGACTATGACGGCGCAAGCATATCCCTCAAACACGGGATAATCAGGAGCTTGAAGAAAGACAGAGGACACTGGTGAATTTCGAAGGCCCATGAGACAGAGGAAGCTTCCGCTGCAGACAACAGCCGCACCCTATTCCAACTGATTCGATCACCGGGTCAAAAGAAGGCATGCGTTAACGAGACAATATGCGGAAAAGACGGAACAGCGATTCACTACGTCAATCATCGTCTTGAGCGGCGGGCTAAAAACCTCAAAGAACAGTTAAGCTGGTCTTCTTCAACACAATGGGTGGAAGAGCCCGGCAAGCCTGAATGGAACAGGCCATTGGCAACCAAAATCCTGCTTGAGATATCAATCCCTAAGTCAAGCGCGTCAAGGCACCTGTTGCTGATGGTCTGCATCCTGCACACTTCAACGAAGGTGGCGATATCCTGGTGAACTGTCTCATAACCATACTGTCTTCAAGAAGGGCACAAGAACGTTATGCGAAAACCATTGTGGCACCAGCCTGGTATCCACTGCACCTAAGGTACCCTATGGCATTATTTTGCGCAGGTTGATCGATTATCAGGAGAGACAGATTCCTGAGAATAAAGCTGTGTTTCGCCTTGTCCAAGGATACCTTGAGACAAGTTCATGAACAGCGCCACTGTTTCAAATGTAACACAGTGGCCGTTTTACTTGATAAGAAAGCTGTCCATGACTCCGACAATCGTCATAAACTCTGGTGGCGTCTGGCGATCAAGGGTGTCCCTTCCAAATTCGGGGGGGGGGGGGGTGGCTCAAGTGGTTAGAGCGCGAATTTACTGACCAGAAGGTCCGTGGTTCGAACCCGACCCCTGCATCTCGACTTCCCCTGTCTAGGCTTGGGTGACCTGACAGTATCCCAGCCCCCTTGCAACCTTCGGGTGGCATGGCAGTTAGGCACCGAAAGGGTGCTACAGGTGAACAATTATCAATTTCTTCCAAATTTGAATCCCTTATTAGGCCATTGTATGCGACCTCCTGTGGCAGGTATAAGTGGTAAGCTTTCGCCTGAGTTAACCACGTCCGGTGGCGTAAGACAAAGTTGCCCTCTCTCACCTTTCCTCTTCAACTTCGTTACTAATATGCTGCTTGAAATTTCTCTGTCTGCCTCTGAAACCTCGATTGTCAAAATGCCCCTGGGACGTTCCTCACAGACATTGAGTACGCGGACGATATTGCTATCCTTGGTTGAGATGCTTCAAGAAGGCAAATCATTCTAAATAACCTAGATAGCTCTGCCACATGGTTTGGCACGCGCTTCACATCTTCAAAGTGTAAAGTGCTGCCACAAGACCGGGTGGAATCAAACCCGAACCTCCTGCTTGCTGAAGAGCGAATCGACGTGGTAGATAAATTTGTAT